TATAATCCTTAGAAGCCAAAATCTAAATAGAAAAAATAAAATTAGCTTAATAAAACTGCCATAGGCCTAAAGTGTAAGCAGATGTTTGAATGTTTAGTTCTCTCTTCTATCATAATTAAACAGGGCTTTCATGTTGCGCGTGCTGAAGCTCCTCCGCGTGAGCGCGATCTCGCTTCTGAATTGCGAATAGCAAAAATGCATCATAGACAAATGTTTGAAAAACAGCTGGTGACTCTGGTGAGATAGAATTTGCAAGATAATGTATATATAGCAATAATAAATGTATGTGCGTTTTATTAATTTTTCCAGTACCGATAGCAGAACCGTTAATGTCAGAGTTTATCGATACTCCGGTCTTTCATAATTTAGCCCCGGGACCGATTAAATACCGGGTTTCGGTACCCATCCCTATATAGCACACATGTGTGAAATGAAGTAACAGAGAGATCATTACTGTATCAGCAACTCCACAGTTACTGCCTTTAAATAAAGCAGCTGAGCATCCGTGTTTGTGGCTCATCATTGACTGAAGCACAGGCTCTACTCACCAGCACAATGGTGACCCACAAAACTACATTAAACTAACAGATCTCTCTTGTGCAAAAACACATAAATACAGTTCAGTTCAATATTTTCTCTCCTTATCAGTTCATGACTTTGCATAACTTTTTTTTCTATGGATGCTCACAAATATTTCAGTAAAATTAACTTTTTTCATTTGGTAAATCTGACTCTTACGTTTTACAGTATATTGCTGTTTTTTCCTTGACTTAACGGCAACAAACTGTAGTAAACCAGTTACTTACTGGCAACTGTGCTGCGAGTAAATACCGTATTGTCCCGAATATAAGACGATACAGATCTCTCTTGTGCAAAAACACATTAATACAGTTCAGTTCAACTTATCAGTTCATGACTTTGCATAACTTTTTTTTCTATGGATGCTCACATGAACTTCCCATCACTATATGAAACACACACATGATGAATCAGCGTATGAATCTCAACAACGGTGACAATCAAAAAAATTAATAAGCAGATTGACTCTGAACATCACAAAACAAGCACGCTTTTCTTGCTATAACAAATATGCTTTACAAACACAGTTACAACAACCAGACAAACTAGCATTAAAAAGTGAAGGGTCAAGAGCCCAACTATAGCAAACCCTGATGAGGTCAAACAAAATGTTTTCAATAAAACAGCTAAACCTCTGTTAATTCTCAAATAATTTTTGTAGATATATGACATAAATTGGCTGAATTCACTCATTAGTTTTCATTCTCTCTGTCAGGTGGACTATATTAGTAAACTCATGTAGGAAATAGTGAATGAGGGTGTACGGTGTGATTTGAAACACAGCCTCTGAGTGTCGACTCTGAACGCTGTTGCTTCACAGTACTGCAGAAGGCTACTTTCTCGAAAACAACAAATATTACCCAGAACACATTGTTTTGTTTACGGGATTGTACTGTTGTAATGAAAAAACAGGATGTTACTGTCAGAATATGGCCGTTTTTTTACAGCAATTTTTTACAGTGTATTTATCGCTTTGTTGATTTATTTGTTGTTTGATTTTATTGATGATTTTATTATTGTTTTGTTTTTCATTTATTGTTTTATTTATAGGCCTATATTGTTTTGATGATTTATTGGTTAACACTTTATTTTGATAGTCCACTTTAGACATTCTACTAACTATAACTATAATGTCAGCTACTAGTCATTGGAGTATTAGTAGACTATCTGCTTAATATTTGCTGGCACTTTCGTCCCCTAACGTGCATTCTACTTACTATAAGCAACTATATGTCAACTTATATGTCTTCTAATGCTCTAATGACTGGTAGTTGACATGTAATTACAAATGAATGAGAGTTAGGTGACATGTAGTTGCAAATATACTTATACTTAGTAGAATGTCTAAAGTGGATTGTTGAAATAAAGTGTAACCTTTTATTGTTTTGATGCATTATTGGTAGATTGCATTTTCCGTGCTGATTCTGGAGGTAAATTGTCAATAGTTCAAACACAGTGTAATGTTTGTCATTAAAGGGGTCATATTTTGAAGATCATTATTTAGTGTATTTGGTGTAACAGTGACGTAGACATGTTGGGGTGTGTTAGAACGAGCCGTTTTAGGTAGGCGTGGTTGACTCTTAACTTTTGTAAAGAATATCTCTTTGGATTTGAGACTTTAGTCTTTGCAACTTTACAGATCTTCTTTATGCACCAAGAGCTTGTAACACTTCAAAGAGAAAGGAAAACTTGAAATCGCATCATATGACCCCTTTAATATTTAACACTGCACAACAAAAGTCTTCCGGGTCAACTCACTTACCTATGCTTTCTATGTACTCTATGGTAATTAAAGGTCGCCGTGTGGATCAACATTACTGTCCAAAAATACAGACTTAACCCAATCCCTACCCCTAAACCTAACCCTACCCATAATTTATTCCTAAAATCAGTGTGTGAAATGATAGCTGATTAACAAGGGTGTAGAAGCACCTAACCCTGATCGTAAACCTAAAACAGATATTTCCTGAAAAGGTATCCCTCAATTCTGATTGGTTGGTTGGAATGTTGTTCCAGGATCAACAAGGATGTTGATCCAGGAACATGTTGTACTTGGTGAAATCACGTTCACCACTAACTAAGCAAGCAATCACTCACCATCCTAAAACAAAAGAGAATAAGGAAAAACAAGACCAAAAGCAAACACAAAAACAGAGTTCCCAGGGCAAGTCGTCATTGAAATGCCACCAGCAGCTCTTAAATAACCAGAGGCCTCAGGTGTTTGTAATAGTCTCCGCCCCCATCCAATTAGCAGCTACACTCAGGAAAGAAAAAAAGAAAGAAAGAGCAGGGGCTCGTAACAAACACCATTAAATTTAATGCAGTTAATAATTTTTTTTACAATTGACTAAACGGTTTCATCCTGTTCTTCTTGATTTCTAAAGATTGGTCACAGTAAGAATTTATTTTTCCATGGTGCTGTAGAGAATAGTTGAGCAGAAAATGTTCATGGCTCATGACTGTGAGTACTGAAACAATTATAGGCCTATATCCTGAGCTTTACAGACTGCTCTTAGGTTTTCATCTGTGACTTTGTGCTTTTTTATAGTTATATTTGTGACTTGTGGGATGGTTTCACCCTTTTTTCAGTTCACTTTGATTTTTCTTCTCCTGTGACATGCTGTGATTCTGCAGTGATCTTTTGGGACCAGCAGTTCTCATTAATAGCTCATGAGGAGGATTCAGAGGATGATTGACAAAACACACTCCTTCATCACAGTTTGGTGTCTGATGAAGTCACCCATGCTCATCTGAGCCATAAGTTCACAAAACTGTCTGCGTATTTATCAGTCATATTTTCCACAGCCAAATGGATTTTGAATGCAGTTTCTAAAAGAAAAAAAAAACACATTTGATAATTAAGTTCTGCAATTATTGTAGGTACAACATAAACAGTGCCCCAAAGTTGTCACCTTTTAGTTAACTGCGCAGGTTTTAAGCTAAAATCTATCACTTAGCATAGGTGGAGTTTTAGCAGGGAATTTTTTTGCCTTGTTGGTTCAAGTCAACAAACAGTAATGAAAGCTATAATAATAGAAGCTAATTTAAAATATTAATAAATTGAATAGTATAAATAACACTATGACAGAAGTTTCATCTTTAACTGAACTGTTCCTTATGGATGCCTACAATTCCAGTTTTCTTTTTCAGCAATCTAGTCTCTTTGTCTTTGGGTTGTAATTTACATCTTCTCTGACATTTATGACATCCCTCAGACAAACACACAGCCTGCAGAGGCACCTTGTGTAGCAGGGAATTACAGCCATTTAATGCATCTTTCATATGTTCTCATTGTTCAAATATTTTAGGTCAGATATCTTTCCCCTGACCTAAAGCAAATGTCGTATACTTTATTGACACTGGAAACAGGCAATATGATCCCAAAGCAAGCCCACACGACTAAACGCATTCCCTGCATGCTTACCTGTTTCCTTTAGCATGTTAAACATTGTTACAAGCTCATAGCCATGGGGAGAGTTAAGGTAACATTATGTATTTACTGAGGGAACATCATACAGAGAGAATGATTAAAGATGCCCTCAGACTACAGAGTTTTTGCTAATTTCGTGAATATGAAATGAGGGCTCCAATGCTGCCATGTTAATGTTACTTATAAATACACTACTTTAAAAACGTTTGAGCTACTATAGTTGTTGGTGTCTTAGGAATAATATGCTTGATGTTTATTGGCGAGGTTTTTGTCAGATTTTAGCAGTTGTCCCTGTCATCGGATTCTTCGCATATTAACTTTTTAAATTTTCTTTGCATTTTCTGACTGTATCTGCTGAGCATGTGAAACAATGTGAAGCTTTGTTTGAAGCATATATTGTGTTGTGAAATATCACAATATAGTTTTGTTTTATTTCATTTTATTAAAAATAAAAACAAAAAGAAAATTCAAATTAAAAGAAATAGGACAAATTACAATAGAACAAAGATAAAATGACAAAGTTTTTCAGATACAAAAGGCTTATTTAACATGACATAATTGTGTGTATTTGACCATTCAAGTGCAATAAAAATTGAAACAAAACTGAATTCGCAATCGTATGCTGTCTGAGAGAGGCACTTTCTCTGGGTGTGTTATTCATAAAACTTTCACATTCACTCACAAAAGACTTGTAATGTTTTGCAGAAGTTTTGCGTTTCCCTACAAATTTTGAGGTTCACTCACGAAACTGAGATTTTGCATTCGCTTGCATTGAAATATATTTTTTCTTCCACCTCATTTTTTTTTCACCCATCACCATGCCCCTTTAGCGGCTCTGTAGCTTTCCCCAAACAAGGTATAAAATAGGGAAGCTCTATTTTTTTTTCTCAAATAAATTGAGAAAAAAATTTAGCTTTTCGAAACTTTGAATGGACTGAACCAGTTGCCTGGCAAAAGGATTCGCTCAAAAATGCTGCACGCCGCATGTTCAAAATCTCACTAGGTCAAAAGGATGGAGGACTTTATTGCAAAATGTCAAACTGTTTTTTTTTCTTTTCTTTTTTTTCTTTCTTTTAATCGTATAGTGATGTTTTATGTCATTACATGTATTATCTTTCATTAGTATTACTTTAACATTAACTAAGAGAGCAGCTCCACAAAATAAATACATGGTCTGAGTGCTGGTAGGTGGTGAGAGGAAAGTGAAGAAATGAAAGAGGGCTGAATCAGCAGCGAGTTGCTCTCTGAGGACATCACTGCTATTGTTCTGATGTCATCATGCTTTATAGATGTTCTTGATCTAATAATGTTGCCTCGAGCCATCTTTCCTTGTTTTAGTGTTCTACAATTCCTTTTACAGTTCTCTTTCCTAATAGTGTTATGTTGGGCGAAAGACTAGTAATATGTTTATTTCAGGAGTTTGAAGTGTGAATATGGGTTGTAATTTTGACAAGAGCTTTGGTGCCATCTAGTGGTTGACTCAGGAAAGTTGCTTTGGATAACATTTTCTATTTTTGTATGTATACAAGTCTGTGCGTATACTGTTATTTGAATTTATATGTTTACATAAATGTAGGCAGTCATATCACCCAAGCTCAAGCCAAGACTGCTTGCCCACTGAAGCTAAGCAGGGCTGAGCCTGGTCATTATCTGGATGAGAGACCTCCTGGGAAAACTAGGTCACTGCTGGAAGAAGTGATTGTGAGGCCAGCAGGGGGTGCTCAGCCTGCAGTCTGTGTGGGTGCTAGCGCCCCAGTATAGTGACGGAGACACTATACTCATCCTTTGGATGAGACGTTAAACCGAGGTTCTGACACTCTGTGGTCAGTCCCAGGATGTCCTTTGAAAAAGAGTAGGGGTGTAATCCCAGCATCCTGACCAAATTCACCCATTCCATCCTCATGTCCATCATCATGGCCTCCTAATCATCCCCATATCTACTGATTGGCTTCATCACTCTGTCTCCTCTCCACCAATAAGCTGGTGTGTGGTGGGCGTTCTGGTGCAATATGACTGCCTTCGCATCATCCAGGTGGATGCTGCACATTGGTGGTGGTTGAGAAGATTCCCCCTTTCTATGTAAAGCGCTTTGAGTACCTAGAAAAGCGCTATATAAATGTAACAAATTATTATTATTAAACCTATTAAAATGATTATTAAAACCTTCTCTCTTTAGTCAACGGTTGGAGGTTCGAGCTCAGGTGGCCCAGGCATTCCTGTCAAAGTTCCAGCTGTCTGCCACTGAGATGGCAACATTACGTTCCGCACGAGATGGTCCCATCACTGAGGTAACCTCATGTTATCTTACAAAAAAACTGCTTGTCATTGCCCATGAAATTTGAATTGAGAACCAAAGCACATAAATGAACCATGAGATTTGATTGGCAACATTATATTCATCTTAAAAGACAATTAAAAAAGTAATAATAAAAAGATATTTAAATTTGTTATTTTCCCATTTAAAAAAAATTATCAGCTCGATATTCAAACATTTTTTTAATGTAGTGTTACATGACACCAATAAAACTCACAAATTAAATCATCCCATGCCGACTAATTCAAAAATAAGTTCAGACAGAATCATCTCTAATGTTTGTGTGTACTGTGCAGGACTTCTTCAGAGCACTGAACCGTGTGAAGAACATCCATGAAGATGTGAAGGTCTTACTGAGGACTAACCAGCAAACGGCAGGGTGAGAGAGAATAGACTAGAATAGAATTAAATAGAACAGAATAGATTAGAAATGTACTAAAAATACAAGAAAATATAAGAATTAACCATCTTGATTCTCACAGACTTTTTGCATGTAGATGTTCAGTGATGTCTGTGCTTTACTGCAGGCTGGTCTAACTCTAGCACTCTCTATTCTAATTCTATTCTTGAAAAAAAAATTTGATTTAGAATAGATTTGCACTCTAAACCGGAGTGTACCGCGGGTAAACATCATAATGCTCAGATAGTCATGTGTCATATGTCATTTGAAAGGTCTCATCGAGTAGAATAAAACAAGCATATGTTTGGGGCTTTGAATAAACTGGAGCGAGTTTTTGTACACGAAGTCACCCCCAGACCCATATGAAAATAATATATTGATGTCACCATTTTGCTTGTAACTTGCTCAGATCGTGGAAAAATAGACACCATTTTTTAGAGCAGATTCTCCTGATTAAAAAGAGCTCTAATCACTATAATCCGTCATTTATATCTAAAGATATACCTCAAGAATTTATAACACGCATAAAGCTGCACAGGCGGCATGTAGCTTAGCAAAAAAAATAAGGTAGCTGTCATGTAGCGTTTTTCGCTCGTAACTTCATAAAACATGCATATATCATAGAAACGCACGTCATTATTCGTCATTATTTGCAGAAAATTCTCCCGATTAAAAAGAGCCCAAACTCACCATAATCCATCGTTCAGATCTAAAGATATCACTCATAGAGCTATAACACATAAAACAGAATTAGGACATGTAGCTTAGCAAAAAAATCAGAGGTTGCAGTCCTGTACCGTTTTTAGCTCATAACTTCACGAAACATGCATAGATCTTGAAAAAAAATGTAACTTCACGAAACATGCATAGATCGTGGAAAACTGCACGTCATTATTTGCAACAAAATTCTCCAGATTAAAAAGAGCCCAAATTTACCATAATCCGTCCCAGCAGGCACCGGACGTCTATGTAACGTCAGGTTGATGTTGGACATGACGTCAGACAGACGTTGCATTTTGGTTGAAAATGAAAATCGGGTTGATGTCAATATTTGACGTCTATTTGATGTTGACTTAACATTGGATTTTGGTTACACAACCTAAAAACAACAAAATATCAACGTCAGCTGACGTCGGTATTGGACATCAATTTAACATTGACATTAGACGTTGAATTTACATTGAATTTTGGTCACCCGACGTCGCAACCAAAATTTAACCAAATATCAACGTAAACTGTAACACATGAAACCAGACAAGCACGCTTGAGGCGCAGCAGAATAAACAACTGCAATTTCACTTTGCGCTTTTATTTGTAACTTCACGAAACATGCATACATCATGTAAAATTGCACGTCATTATTTTCAGAAAATTCTCCCGATTAAAAGGAGCCCAAACTAGGGTTGGGCCGATAGACGATACTATCGTCCATCGCCGATGGCTGACAGACATCACGATGTTGAGCCGGCATCGTGATCCCCCCCCCCCATACCCCCCGCAATCCGCCGCATCCCAATACCGTGTTTGGAAAGGAAATTAAGTGTACTACGGAACCCCTAAAGGGAATAAAGCCTACGAGATGGGAGGATAAAAAAAATATTTCAATACTTTCTCTTGCAAATATATCGTTGGGTAATTATACTAAATTTCGGGCATCAGGGAGCCGCTACTAATATGCAGGGCATTGAAACCGCTTTCGAATGCG